AAGAGAAAATATGATTGTATGCTTTGGGATGATACATCCAATTTCAGAACAGATTGCTTCTGAAGAAACATGAGAGTTTGGCATTTGAGAGATTTACCTTTATTAATATTATTGTTAATATTAATTTCTTCAACACAAGGGTTGACATACATGGCATCTTTATAAGACAGTAGGTACTTAAAAATCAAATTATTTTCTATACTTTTATCCCATTTTCATGTTTTAAAATTGAAGACTTAAATTTGAAGTCAGCAAGATGGCTTAGAGGATGAAAGTGTTACTTCCAAGTCTGACTGCCTAAATTCAGTCCTCAGGACCCACAAGGTCTCGCTTACACTGTCCTCTGGCCACAAACTCAGTGTGACATTTGAATGCTGTGGCACACACACACACACACACACACACACACACACTCACACATACATATAATTTTAAAAATTAAATACATAGAAAACTTAATGCCATCTCATTATAGAAACTGAGACTAAAATTAAACACATCTGTAACCTCACCGTTGTTAGATGCAGTCTTACTGGCTGAGACAAAGTGCAAATCATCATGAGTCATCCTCACAGAAAGCCACGATGCTGTGTGTAGAGCCCCAGGTTAGAGCACTTTCTGAGAAACAGTGAAATGACAGAGTGCCCATCTACCATATATATGCAAGGCCCGAGGTTCAGTCCCTAGCACTGGAGAGAAAAGCCAAACTAACGCCACTGTGTCAGTGGAGTGTGTAAACTCAGACGGAGAACTGAGCAGGGTGCTGTGAGATCAAACATGGACATTTCCCGCTTGCTAACAACCTAACAGCACTGCGGAGATCTGTGGCTGGAAGTCAGGTAGCATCCGTCAGGGCAGCAGTGGAACAGAGCCAAAATCGGGGAGCTCAGATTCCTGCTTCTCTGAGTAACTCAAGCTGTCGTCACATTTCCAGATGGTTCAGTCACATAGTACGGAGTGTCCATCTATACTGACAACTAAAGGGAGTCGTGCAGTCCTTACCTGAGCCACTTCCGTTTCTTCTGTCCACCGCAGTCACAGCTTATAAACATCCCTCTTACATGCTGATGTTGACATCTCCCTAACTCGGGAAGCTGGTGGGGAACTGGGGGACGTGACAGTGATGGTATGCATCAACCTACCTAGTACCGAAGTTCACACCAAAGGTGTCACATGTCCTTCACTGTTGTTATCCTAAGCAGACTTTAGAAGGCTTCTACTGGAAAAAACTTGGCCCCTGTGTGTGTGTGTGTGTGTGTGTGTGTGTGTGTGTGTGTGTGCGCGCGCGCGCGCGCGCATGTGTGCATGCCTGTGTGTAAGTATGTCTTTGAGACCGAATCTCGCTTATATGCCTCAAACTCGTGTTGATCCTCCTGCCTTACCTCCTGAGTGCTGGGACCGTTCCCAGATTCATCCACTGTCTTTTCAACCACATTATCACTCCTAATTCTCTTAATTAAAGTATCTTTACAAATTTCAAACATACGCAAGAGTTAAAGTCATACTACCCTGCCACCCAGGTTCAGTGTGTTAATCTTTCAGATAATCTTCCCCAGTTAATGCACTGGTGAAAAATCACCCATTTGCCAAAATGTATCACACATCAACATTTTCCAACTGAGAAAGCCCTAGAAACAGCAGCTTCAATAGTTCTGGGAATATAAAAGAGTCTGGCTATGTAGCATCTCTGCATCCTCTTCTTTCCCTCTAAATGTTTATTGTGAGCCTACCATGTGCTGGTGCTGGTAAGGATGGTAAACAGCAGACAGATAAGCCCTGGGCCTCTTTGCTGGAACTCATGGTCTACAGAGAAGCAGCTGGGGGAGGCTCCATGCACTACTGTGGGAGTGAGAAACAGTGAGGGCTGTGAAGAAAGCAGCCAGCAGTCACTTAGAGGTCAGCACAAAGGGTATGGTCAGGATGACTGGATTTTGTCCTATGAAAAAGATTATTTCAGACAGAATAAAGTACAGATGCAAAAAACAAACAAACAAACAAACAACATACCCAGCACACCATGGCTTAAGGGAATGGCTAGAGTATAGGATAGTAGAAAAAAATTCAAACAAAACAAAAGGTCATATAGATTAGCTTTAGAGAGATAGTTCTCTTACAGAAGGAGAGTGGTTGGGACTAAAGGCAAGAGAATAGAGGCCATGAGAGTAGATCTACTTCCTGCGTGTGCACAGTAGTGATGGCTGTACTTTTTGATAACAATCTGTTTCCTATTGCCAACAAGTTACCTACTATATTAATCCCGTCTAGTTTCTCCCTCATTCTTTCAAATTTCTACTTTTTAATAACTAAAAATCCATTGATGTGAAGTTAGCCCCAAAATAAAGACATTTTTCAGATACTAAATGAGAAAAGGGATCAATGGCCACACAGTGTGTGAAATATCAAACGCTTTCGACAGTTAGGCCAAGCACTAAAATAGGAAGGAAAAAGAACAGAAATGGTGATCTATAGAGTATAGTTGGAGCGAGGAAAGATGCAAATAGCAAGAAGACTCGGGCCTTCTAGCTGTAGGCAACAACAGTCAAAAGACAATGCTGTTCGCTGAGGTAGAAACACCAGAGAACAAATGGGCTTGGGGGGAGGAGAGAGAATATGTCCACTCAGGCTGATGCTGGGTCTCTTCATCTACAGATCTTCCTAGATGAACTAGTGGAAGTGTTGACTTAAATGTATCAGATTAAATCAAGTGTTTAAATAAATTGCCTAGTACCATTACTGATCATTATAATGCTTGAAAAATATCTTCTTCAGAACGTGCTTTCTGGGCATAGATAATTTGACATTCACCCCTGTAGAGATCTAGTAATATCAAATGAGCAAAGTCACCATGCCTTACACTCATAGTATTGAGCCAGAAATTAAAATATTGAGGTGGGAGAAGTTGCCAAAATGACAAAACTGGAGCAGAAAGAAAAATAGACAAATATGTTTAAGTGCTTTTTTTTGATAATTCATTGTATTTTCCTTTTGTTGTTACCTTTGGAGAATTCCTTATAGGCCTGACAACCCAAATTAGTTCTTAAAAGCATGCAAGTTTCTGCTTGGGAATCATATAGTTAATACAGAATTAATACAATAACATCTGAAATAAATTGGTGTCTCTTGCCATCTTAAAATTCATTTGTGTCTTCATTACACGTGTCATGAGCAGTTTTAAATTCTGATCTTCACAAGCTAGAGTGAGAGTATGCTTCTTCCTTACAGCTGTTTCCTTTCCTGCTTTTGTGCAGGAGCGTAGACATCTAAGGGTCTATTGCTAGAGAATTCTGAGCGCCCATATTCCGTCACCTTTGCATTGTGCTTTCCTCGTGCCAGCATTATGAAATAATATGTGTGGTTCTTACAGCCACAGTACATTTTAAGGAAAAAACAATATCATTTAAGATATTTTCCTTACCTCATAGTCTTCACAGTCAGAGGGCTTTTCTGAACTGAGGTTAGACAATAGCACCAACTTCATCTTTTATGCACGTGAACAGAGAGGGCTTGAGGTTATTAGTTGAAACCGAGTAACCTTTCCAGGCTTTCATCTCTTTCTTTTCAAATTTGAATATGAAAAGCATATTCAAGTCAAAGACCATCACTTTAATGACATTTGGCAGTCATTTGATTTATTAGGTTTTAGAAAAAATTTCCCTTTAAATATTTCATCATACTATGCTAATCCTAGTAATATTGCCAGCTGCAGCCTTGTACCTGTATTAGTGGAGACAGAATGGTGTGGAATTTTCTCTGTCATCCTAGTAAAATTTCCATGAATCTACTGAATAATAAAATAACCTTATTGAAATATTCAGATTTCAGTTTTTAGTTAAAGTGTCTTAGAATGCATAATAAAAGGAAATGTCTTTTGGAAGAAGGGGGTAAAATTACTTCATCAAATATTGAGGGGGTTTTGACAGCAATGGAAATGGTTCTTTTTGGAGGCATTCTTTCAGTAGGACACTTGAATCTTTTTTAATGTGGTTAATTACGTGCTGCGAAATGCCTGCATCATCGCTATGGTGGGTCTACATGCTGGTATGCCTTTAACAGTGAACTTCTGCAACCTAATCACAAAACAAGTGTTATTTCCATGTTTTTCTAATTGTCACTTGAAGTTTATATGGTTGACTGCATCATGGCTTTGATATAAAGAAGAATTTTTTAAGTAACAAATTTTAAGTTGTGAGAAACAAATTAAATTTAACTGAGGAAATGTTGTAGTATGAACAGATATTTAAGTCACCGTTGTCAACTGAAGTCATTCCTCAAGGAATGTTTCTAAATCTCATGTTAATGTCTGTGGATTCTAGGAGAATATCAAACAAATGTAGCATTAATTCTTCATTCTATAAATGTGAAATGGAAAATAAATTGCAAGAAATAATATGTAAACTTAGATATAAGACTTTTTTCTTTTGTTTGAAAATGTGTTACTTACTGACTGAAATAAATTATGGCAGGTATGTAAGAATGAGCTGTAGTTTCTGCTCTAGTTGCTATAGATTGATATAGCTCTATATATTAGCATAATAGTGCTAAAGTGTTCAACAGGCTTTGATCACTGCATAATTGAGCGTTCCCAGGTACTGCAGATTAAATAAAGCAGTGATAAACATGCACTTCATTACCTAGTTTGAAACAAGGCCAGCTGATACTTGTCATTCTGAAAACTATCGGAGATGAAGACCTCATAATCTCCACTCCTCATAGACTACCAGTGGGGTATTTATAGCCTCTAATGTAAATCAGGAGACGATTGCCATGACACTGTTAACTTCAAACCCTGGGGCATTAGAATCTCATTCTCTCTGTGTGTCATGAATAATCTATCATGTGGAATGTGCAGTCGTGTATACTGCCTTCCAGAGAAGAAACCCATTGGCTGTGACCTTTTAGTTTTTAAACTAACAGTGGAATAGAATAAAGGATATATTTTTTTTTTTTTGCTCACTTGATTATTTTTGCTTTTGTTGTTTTTGGGTTTACTCTTTAAACAGCCGTCAGAGGAGATTCGGATTGAGATCATAGCTCTAAGCCTTAATGATTCTCGAATAACCAGGGATGACACTATCCAACGGCTGTTTGTTGAGTGTCGGTTCTACAGTCTTCCGGCTGAAGAGACACCTGTGTCACTGCCAAAACCCAGGAATGGCCAGTGGGTCTACTATAACTATACCAATGGTATGTATGATTTATTTGTAATATAGCCTTTTGTATGGTTTTTTATTTTCAGTGAAGGAAGCTAAGGTAATGTGCATAGCGTTTAATTCTCTGATGTTCACACGCATCGAAGTCTTTTCAGACTAGGTTAATAAAAGCCGGAACTGTAGCATAACAATTAAGGAAACTACTTTAAAGTCATTAAAAATCAAGAGAAAACATGGACAATGAGAAAGCGGTGTCTGCCTGCTTCTACTATATTATGGAATCTATAGGAAATGCCACCCAAGTCTACTGCTAAATTTTAATTTAAAAACATGACATTTTATTTTTTTTTATTTTTTATTGAGAAAAGGAAAAAAAATTTCCGCCTCCTCCCAGCCTCCCATTTCCC